GGCTCCGCTCTCCACCACCTAGCCCGTGCTCATCAGGGCCAAGGATATCCAAACAAGCCAGCGGGGTATTGTCTTCCCTCCGTTTCTGTTGGTTCGGCCCTCACCGAAAATCACTCCCCCTTCCCCGCTTGCCGGCCCCCTGCATCTCTCCCCTCGGACCGTCTGGCTCCCCCGCTCTCCCCGCTGCCGGTCGGGGTGGTGGCGTGGGGGAAAGGTGTTTTCCCCGATCCCGCAAGGCCCGAAGAGCGCCCCTGCCAGGACCACCCGCCTTTCCCGACCGGCCGCCAGCGACCATGATTTCCTATGAGCCGCAGGCCAGGGCGAGGCAAATCGTTCGGCGAAACTGTAGGGCAAATCTCACATGGTTGCTTGCACGAGTGTGCGATGCCGGCTGCTGTTGGTCATGTGTCAGAGGCATTTGTGCGTTTCCGTATGATCCCTTCGGTACCTCGGGAGTTCAGGGGGTTTGGGAGGTTGGGCGAAACACAAAACATGCAAACATGCTTCCGCCCTTGGCGCCGACATGCACGATTGAACGCCACGAGTGCATTGGGGTGGGCCCAGGAAACTCCCTCCCCCGCCCCCCTTCCCCCCTCTCCCTTTCCCCGCGTTTCCTTTGTTTCCCCTCCCTCATCCCTCCTCCTGGCCCCCCCTGCCCTCGCCCTCATCGGGGGTGGGCCTGCGGACGGCTTGATCGTCGGCACCGCACACGTGTTTGCCTGGCGACGGTCGCGGGTGGTGGACGTCGCCGCCGCCGCTGTCGTTGTCGTTTCTACTCCTCGGTCGTCGGTTGTCGTTCGGTCGGCCGGTCGCTGCGATTGCAGAGCTCTCGATCTCCGAGGACCCCCACCGAGAGCGCCGCCACCGAGGGCATCAACGCCTTCTGTTTACTCACCAAAGCGGCGAGGACCGTTTCTAGGCTTCGCCTGTGAGGACCGTCGGTAGACCTCACACCCCGCTCTGCTTCCATCATAAGGGCCGCCTGGGATCCCACTCCCGCGTATCATGGTTGCGTCCATTGCCACTGGAGGGGCCGAGGACTCCTCAAAGGACCCTCGGCCAACGAAGACGTCCCTAGAGGAGGGTCCAACGTGCCCCTGTTGTTTGTTTTGTTTAAGGCGTGACTGGCGCCACTTACCACCCGCGCGATGTTCCTCCTCCAGCAGGGCACCCCAGTCCAGCCTTCGGGGACAAGGTGGCCTCGCTCTTCCCCAATGCCTCGCCAGCGCCATGCAACAAATCAGGTTGGAGGCTTTTGGTACTGTAGTGGCCTTCAGCCAGTGCCGCCGATGTGGTGCGCTCCCGATGGTGCTCGGTTTCGCTTGGGGTCCTGTGGGGCCGTCTTGTGGCCATCTTGGGGCCGTCGCAGGTTTTTTTTTTGGGGGGGGGTCTCCGCATTGGATGTTCTGGGGCTCAGGGATCGCGAGAAAGCGAAAAGTGGTCGGGTCTTGAGGGATGCGATGTTTCCCTCTCTCCAGCGTCGACGTGCCTCCGTGACCTTGGGACCTCCCCTTCCTCCTCCCCTTCGTCCTCGTCCTCTTCCTGCTCCCCCTCGAATGTTTTAGCTGACGGTCCTGGGGCTGGGAAGCCGCCCGGGCAGCCGTTCTGGCGCGGGCGCGCGACTCCTGTCTTCTGCGGCGCCCCGGCCTGCGGGGGCCGCAGCTCGGTGGCAGGTCATATGGGAGCCTCGCCTGTCCCCGCAGCTCTGGTTGTGAACCGTGTTAGCCTGTTTCCGCGGATGGTAGTCGACGAGGCAGCGCCGATTTCGCGTCCATTAGCGTCGATTGCTGTCGGCTAGCGCAGGCTGGCGTCGATTCGCGGCGATTCGAAGGAGCCAGGGGTATGGGAGGTCCCCGTGACTGGCCGCAGCAGGTTGCAGCCAGACCTCGACCGCACCCTCTCCGGCTCGATCCCGGGACGCGCAGCGAGCGCGCGCGCGCGCGCCCCCCGAGGGCCAGGGCACCCGGCCTTTAAGTGCAATGTCACGGGGGGATGGTGGGCCCACGGGGGTTGCCAGCCCCACCACCCCCGGCAAACCGCTCGCCAGTCGGAATGGCGGCGTCTCGAAAATGCTTCATACTCATTTTTTGAGTATCACTTTTTATGTTAAATAAGTGGTTCAAACTCCGCAAGAAAATATGAAGTTCAAGTCACTGTTTGAGATATTATCTGAAATCCACGAGGAATTTTCTCGACCCCGGAGCAGCCGTCCACCACCGCCAGGTGTTCGCTTGCCCGCGCCCCGCCCAGGGAGTGTGCGGACTTGTTCTCGGGGGCCCGCTGCCGATCGATCGGCGAAGGAAGGCCACCGGAGCTACAGCGAGGCTCAGGAGGAAAGGAAACGCACAGACACAATTCATCCTCGATTCCCCAGAAAATATAGGAAAATATGGGAAGTGGGGGGGAAGACAGAAACCCAGAAAATATGTGAAAATGTGTCGAATCGTTTTAGTTGTGTGTATTTATTTGTGTGTCCTGGGGCCCCTTCAGAGGCGACCCCCTTGGCCTCTTGCAGGGCGGCGAACAGTGCTCCCGGCGGCAAAGGATGTACGACATTCTTCCCCCCTCAGTATTGTCAGTATTGTGACACCCTGCTGGCGTTTCGGTTTTTGCTGCCTGCCATGATTCGCGTGCAGTCGGGACACGCTGTTCCGACGATCTTGGGCCGCTTTCAGCATGTAATGTTGAATGTGCCAAGGATGTTTCAGATCTTGCAGTTGTCTTTATCTAGTTAGGGCGGCTGTGATGTCCAGTGTTTCACCGGCATCTTCCAGACCCTTGATTCTTTATCGAATGGTTCAGAATCCAATGCCCTCATCGTACTCTTGTCCAAAAGGTTTAGTTCGTTACACCGTGGGCTCATATGATCGCCGATTTCAAGTCAATGCCTTCCCCCCGGAGCCCGTCCCCCCCCCTGACGTTGCCCCTCACGTTCCGCGCGGCCCCCATGGCGGTCGCCGCGAGCCTCCGCTGATCCGCGGCGCGGCGCCCCCACCTCTTTTCGGGCCGAACGAAAGGGGGGGACAGGGAAAGGGGGGGGTACGAAATCTGCTGCATGCAGCTGGTTTCGGCCCCGCCGCCGGGCCCATTCCTCGATGCAGGGGCGCCTCCCGGCGCCGGGAGGCGCTGGGAACATCAGCTGCGTGAGCTGACTCTCTACCCTGCCCTTTGCTGCCCCCCCCCTTTCGCTCCCCCCGATCCTTCGCCGTGCCTCGGCGGTGCCGCCACCTGGCCAGCCAGGCAGCCAGGCAGCCGGGGTGGGGGGGTCGAGGCAGGCAGCCGGGCGGGCAGGGAGCCAGGCAGGCGGGCGGGCGGGCGGGGGCCGAGCGCCCGTGCATTCCTAGAGCCCATAGGTCTACCACGAGAGGCTCTCAGAGCAAAAGTCTGTTCTAATAGCAGCCAGGAGCGAAAACAGTACCCCATTGCTTTGCACACCGAGTGCTGATTTCCTGGGTCGCGTTTCGCCATAGTGTTTGCAAAATTGCAGACGGGGCCCACAGGGGGGAATGGGATACCTGCTCGCAAATTAGTCAGGAATCGCGTGTTCCCCCCACTGGCGGCTACGTTTTTGATCCGGACGGCCACGATCTAATGCAACACATACATTGCAGTGCACATGGCCGTGTTCTCACCCTTGTCACACGGCCACGATCTTTTGCACAATGCAGAAGGGTGCACGTGGACGTGCTCTCAGCTCTGTCACTCGGCCACGATCCCACGGAGAAAACAATACTTGGCACATGACCGTGCGCTCATCCCTGTCGCACGGCCACGGCCCCAGGTGAACCATAGCATAGGTTGCGGTGCGCATTGCCATGCTCTGGCCCTTGTCATCCGGCCACGATCCCCTTGTAAGCAATTACCCTACGGTGCACATGGCCGTGCTCTCAGCCGTGTCGCTCGGCCGCGATCCACCGTCAAAATACAGTAAGGTGCACATGGCCGTGCACCCACCTCCGTCACACGGCCACGATCCCTCGTCAAAGTAGAACAACGTGCATTTGGCCTTACGTTCGCCCATGTCACGCGGTCACTAACTTTGGCACAAAATACACTACGGTGCACATGGCCGTGGTCCCACCCCTGTCACGCATAGTAATCTTTAGGAGTGTATAGGAATGCGCGCTTTCACCCGCCAACCTCCCACCCTTCAACCACTTCTTCACCTGTCCAGCTATCAGGACGCTTCGCTGGATTGTTTCTGGGACAAGCGCACGTTGGCGTTGGCGCACGTCTTCTCGCTCATCGATCCTCTTTGGAAGCTGGCCGCCACGGCGGTTTGATGTTGGTTTGGTCGACCTGCCCAGGTCGTCTTGATTGACCTGTGCAGCTTCAGTTCGACGTTCGGTCGACTCCAGTCCTTTACTAGCTCGATTCAGGGCCGACTCGCGTTTGATCATAGTCGACGGAAGTTCGATGCATAATTGAGCTCCAGGAAGGTTCCCAGAACGAAAATATAACGGCCGGGATCCTCTCACCCGCTCACCTCGTGCTGTTCCGCAGATTATGGCCCATCTAGGTCACCCGCGGGGGCGAGAAGATGAACCCGCCCTCATGTCCTATGGCCTGGGCCGCAGATGTGGCCGTCCAATTGTCGGGTGCGCCTAGGGTGGGAAGATATTCGCGCGTCGCGTTTCGTCTAATGCGTGCGCAAAAAACGACTCATGGTGAATCCTGGGCTCTGAGGTCGCCAGTTTCGTTCACAATGCTGCCCTACGCCAGGAGAGCAAGTCCTTCCCGAAGACGAGCAGCATGGACCTGAGGTTGGAAATCCAGGGCGCCTTCCAGGAGATCGTGCTCCCACAGATCCAGAAGGACCTGTCGGCGATCAAGGAGGACTTCCAGGACATGCGGCGGGATCTGCAGCTGCTCTCCGAGAACTCCCGGAGATCCTCGGGAGAATGCAGGGGAAGTACGTGGAACACGAGGAGCGGGGACGCTTCACCTAGGAGCGGGGAAAGCAGGGGCAGCACGTTCAACACGAACGCGCTTGACGCCACATGCTGCCCTCAGCGAGACACCTTCATGAGCAGTGCCAATGGCAATTGCGAGGTCACCCGCCCGGGGCGACCGTCATCAACGTCGTGGGCATCCCGGGCCATGAGGAAGAAGAGCTCCGCGGCAGTACCTGGTGGGCTTCCTGGTGTGCCCAATCCCGCCGCTGGCTTCACAGGGCGAAACACCATCCGTGGAAGGGAAAACGGTACAACTCACAAACCTTTGGATGTCCGCGCGGATGTCTTGGATCGGCGCTTGGCCCCCGTCTTTTACGCGCGGAGCTCGCCAGGGGTGGCGACGGAGGCGCCGCCTGTAGGGCCCAGCGCCGATCCGAGATGTTTTTCCTTTCGACCCAGGCACGTTTACTTGCATCGCATCCCCAACCCTCCGCCGCCCCCTGCTCCAGTAGCGACTGAGCCCCGACTTGCGAGAAGTAGTCCCGAGTTCTTCCGGGCCTCGCCACGCCTCCCTCCCCGTCGACGCAGGTGAAGCTGCCAAAATCTGAAGACGAGCGAGCCCCGAGATCCTAGGGTCCATTTTTGCTCGCACTCGGCGACTTTGCCCTGTCTTGGGCCACGGGACCGTCGCGGGTCGATCTGGCCCGGAAAGGCCGCAGCACGATGGGGTCTAGGGCCCTGGTCGTGTGACCTCTACGATGTTGATTTTTGTTCGTCATGCTTGTGTCTGTGCCGTGTTCTTTTCCTCGACGCCATCGGCCACGGCGGCAGCCCCGACAGGTGAGCGATGGAAGATAACGGGGCCGGCTGCGCCGACGTCCGCGCGTGGGGTGCCCGCGTACGGCCGCGCGTGAGCGCCCTCGTCTCCCGTGTGGCGCACCATGCTGGCGGCCCGCGTAAGCGTCGACGTGGGGTCGCTATGTTTTCGTGCGCAAGGCCCGCAACTTCCGGGCTGGCCGCAAGGGTAGAATAGGGAGAGGGGGGTTGACGAAATCTGCTGCTGCGTCAGCTGGTTTCCGCCCCGCCGCCGGGCCGGGCCCACTGCGCGATGCATGGGCGCTTGCCGGCGCCGGGAGGCGCAAGGCGAACCAGTTCGTTGAGCCGCTTCTCTACCCTACCCGTTGCTATCCCCAACTGTCGCCGTCCGGCCCGACGTGCCTGCTTGCGCAAGGCCCGCATCTTCTCGTCGCTCAGGTCTCCCCCTCCTGTACGCGCGTCCCAGAACGGGGGCAGCTGGGCCTCCCGGGCCATGCGGAAGAAGGGCAGCCGAGGGCATGCCCTCGAGCCGCAGCAGGTGCGGCAGCTGGCGCTGCCGAGCTACATCGCCGAGGGCAACGGCGAGGACAAGGAGGACGCCAAGAAGGACGGCGTGTGCCTCAGAGGAAGAAACAAGGCACCGAGCCTGAGACCCTGGAGTTGCAAGTTTTCACAGCCGCCGTTTTCGCTCAATCTCGGGCCCCTGGAGCCCCACAGACCGATCCGTCCATTCCGTCTCGAAGAACTAACAGACCATGTTACGCATCCGGTCTATTCTGGGCGTGACTTTTACTGTGTCGCACTTTTCTGTTGCAACGTCGGATCTCGGGGGATACAGCCGCCCTTGCCTCGTCTTCGCCCTCTTTGGGGCCTCCTTGGGGGCCCCTCGTCGCCACGGCCGGAGCCGCCCCGGAGGTCCTGGGCAGAGCGCACCCCAGGGGGGAGGGTGCGGAGAGCGGCGGCATCGGCAGCCCTTGTTGGTTTCCGTGGCGGGCCAGACAACGACGGGCTGCTTCGTATGTGATTTGCGCTTTTTTGGGGGGTCCTCGCCCGTTCCCTGGGCCGTCAGCAGAGTGTGCTCGGGGAGAAAGGTCGGTCCTGGGAAGTGGGTCGATGCCTTCGAGCGTCCACACTGTGAACAAGTCATCGCGTCTGGGGCCCTGGGCGAGCAGGACGACGTGGACGTGCTGTCCAACCGCTTCACGTTCGTCGTGCCGCAGCCCCTCTCGGTGGATCAAGCAAAGAGGGCCCTGCCGCCAGGGAGGGCGAGCATACTGGGGAGGACGAGCATCAGGGAGGATGACCTCGTCCGGGTGAGCCGCATGTCCAACCAGAGCCTGGCATATGCCGAGAGCACGACTTCGGGTTCGAACGCCAACGGGCATGCTCCGCGCATTCAGAGGCTCTCCCAGAGGAGCGGCGAGAGACTTGTGAGGGCCAAGACACGCAAGTCCATGGCGGCTGGCAAGGTGTCGCTGGCGCTGGCGAGGACGTCCGAATTTAACAGGAAGGAGTCCCTGTGGGAGTGGATGTCGAGCCTGACGCAAGCGGAGACGTGGCGGGGCCTGAGTGCCAAGAGTATGCTGCAGAGCTCCAGGTTCGATAACCTCATCAGCTTTCTTATTCTTGCGAACTCCCTTACCATCGGGCTGGAAGCGGACTACGCGGCGCAGAATATTACGGAGGCCGCACCGTGGCCGTACCGCGTATTTGAGGTTTTCTTTTGTGCCGTGTTCACCTGCGAGATATCACTGCGAGTGTGGGCCTACAAGAAGAGTTTTTTCTTGAAACGTGACCAGAGCGTCCTTTGGAATTACTTTGACCTTTTAGTTGTTGCCGCGCAGCTGGTTCAGGAAGCCATCGAGTTCTTCAGACCAAGCAGCGAGGGGAACGATGCGGACAACCTGCGTATACTGCGCGTGCTCAGGGTTTTGAGGATCGTGCGCATCTTCCGGCTGGTGCGCGTGCTGCACCTCATCGGTGAGCTGCGTACCATCGTAAGTTCCATCATGGGGTCTTTCCGATCGCTCTTCTGGACGGTGATCCTGCTTCTGCTGCTGATGTACATCGTCGGCGTGTGGTTCCTCCAGTCGGTGACCGACCACTTCGTGCAGCAGCGCGGAGACGAGGGCGGCGGCGGCGCCCTGTCGTCGGGAGAGGACTCGGGGGAGGCGAAACCGCACCGACCCCCATAGAACTGGACGTCTGCGAAACAGCCCTCGGCGTTTGACTAAACACAACCCTGTTGCCAGGAGCGTTTATTCATAGATTTCGCTCGTCGGGAAGCTTCGTATGAGGGCGGCTCTTGTGCCCTCCCAGGACCAGCTCCGGAAGCACTTCGACTCGCTCGCCCGGACGATCCTCTCGCTGTGGCAGGCCCTCTCGGGGGGCGTCAATTGGGGCGAGGTGGCGAACCCGCTGATCTCGGAGGTCCAGCCCCTGCTCGGCGTCGCGTTCGCCGCCTACATCGCCTTCGCTCTGCTCGCGCTGATGAACGTTGTTACGGGTGGAGGGGGCGAGCGTCGTCAGTTTTCCACGATGTGAGCCTTCCAATCCGGGTGTTTTTCTTATATGTCGCCCTCTGGGGCCCGTTCCATCGGCCTGCGGGACCATCAACCATGGGTAGGAAAGCTATCCCCAGAGAAGTGGTCGCGACCATGGGTCAAGCATTGAAAGAATACGTCGTCGGATGTCAGGGTATACCGATGCACAGCTACTCCCTGGACCTTTCCAGGCGTGCGTTCTGGCCAGGGTTCCGAGGCGGGTCTGTCCGTGACAGCGAGGGCGACCCAGGAGGCCCACGGATAGACGAGCGCGTGGGAGGGGTATCGGTGTCGGGATGGTGCTCTTTTGAACAGGCGTATTCGTTCAGACCGCGCTGCACAGCGCCGAGCAGGAGGAGGAGAGCTTCCTCACAAGCCAGATCATCCAGCTCTTCCACAAGTGTAAGGACGACGACAGCTGGGGGTGCATCACCGAGCAGGACCTCGAGGAGCGCCTGGACGACCCGGAATTAGCAAAAGAGTGGAAAAACATCAGCGTCAGTGCAGACGAGGCCCACTACGTGTTCGCTCTGCTCGACGTTGACGAGACCGGAGAGGTTCAGTTCGAGGAGTTTTTGAGTGCATGCTTGCGCCTGAAGGGCAACGCGAAGTCGCTGGACATGCTCATCCAGCTGCAGGAGTCCAGGCACAACACCAAGGTGCTAGAGGAGCTGTTCGAGAGGCTCGAGGACAGCGTGGCTGGCATATCAGCCTCGCTCCAGCTGCTGCAGAGTGAGAGGTGCAAGTCCCCGCAGGAGCCGAGAAGCTCGAGTGCAGATGCGCCGGGTCCGAGGCACTCGAGTCGGAGTGGCCCGACGCTCAGTCCGGGCGCGTGAGCTCTTGTTGGCGACTGCAGTGTGCGGTGTGATTAATTACGCCGGGGTGTGGTTTGCGATCGGCGCCGTTGGGGCTCTATCAGAGGCGACGATAGGGGCGAATAGCCCAGGGGAGAGCAATCCATGTATTCAGGTGCGCCGATGATCTATGTCTTCGAAAAGGCTCCCGGGCGAATACGTGTAATGCCCGCCCCTGGGTTATTCGCTCCTATCGTCGCCGCCGACTCCTAGGGGGTCACCACGTTGCTCCAAAGGTTTGATGAGCCATCGTCGGAGCGCGGCGAAGACCTGTGTCCAGGTCCTCGCCCGCCTGCCAATCCAGGCGCGGGTTGCGAATGTGCAAACGACACCCTTTGCAAGCCACGCCCTTCAGAGTCGCCGATCTTGGGAGCAGCCCTCGCAACTGGCACGGCCTCTCTGGGTGTGGCAGGCTCTGGCTGCATCGGCGCCGAAGGCGCCGCAGGCGTAGGCGCGGAATGCTGAGCGCCCTTTTCTGGTGGGTTCGAAGTCGGGCCCTGGGATACGCAGAGGCTAAGCCACTCCGCGCGGGCCGGATTCGGCCCCCTCTCCAAGAAGAAACAAAATCATGAGCACACATGTTCGGAGTTCCGCGCGGATTTCTTGGATCGGCTCCGGCCCACCCCCCGGCGGCGGTTGCGCGCTCCGCGCGCTGGGGAGGGAAGTCCAGCGCGGATCCAAGCACTCCGCTTCGGATGCAACTCCTGGGAGGTCAAATTCGGATTTTGCCCTGGTCCGAAATCCCGCTGAATCCTGCTTAATCCAGCTTCATCCCGCTTAATTCGAGGCCCTTTCTGGCGTAACAGCCCCGCAATGGGGCTTAGTCCTCCTTAATCTTTCCGACGAAGACCTCCCAGCAGTTGCTTCCTAACTCCGCGCTCGGGTCAGATTTGGCCCGCCCCCCCCGCGGGTGGGACGTTCCCGCGCGCCTCCTCTTTGCGACCAATTTTGGGACCCTGCCGCAGGAAAAAGCACCGATACAGCTATCTTTCCCTCGTTGCCACGGCTGGATTCGCCTCGAAGGTTCGGTCGGCACGCACCCCTTGAGAGGTCTAGGGGGTCGTGGTATCGGTACCGCTTTGCCCCTCCCCCACCACCCCACCTTTTCGGGCCCTGTCGACGCTGGGGTATCGGACACCCCCACTTAGATAGTGAATCACGGAAGCTCCCGCTCGTCTTGGATTAAACGCATATCGGCGAACAGCGCTAGCGCTCAATAGTACCAAACAGCGCCCAGTAGCGTCGAAAAGCTGTCACATCGCGCCCAATCGCGACCCCACAGCGCCATGCGGGAGAGGCATTCAGTCCGCTTCGCATGCGAATGGGCGCGCTGTTGGGCGCCATGGGGACGACCAACAGTTTCCGTGAGTTGTTTCCTAGACTAGCTGTCAAATGGCGCCCAATCGCGACCCCTGGCGCCCCACAGCGCCATGAGGGAGAGGCATCATGTCCGCTTCGCGTGCGAATGTGCGCGCTGTTGGGCGCCATGGGGGCGCCATGGGGGCGACCAACCGTTCACAATCGCAACGTCAGGCGTCCCGCAGCGCCATGTGGCAGAGGCCTCATGTCCCCTTCGCGTGCGAATGGGCGCGCTGTTGGGTGCCATGGTGACGGACAGCAGAGCTTCCGTGAGTTGCTTTTATCGAATATGTGTTCCAACCATTTTGTGGTGTTGGGCCCTCGTTTTGAAGAGACGGTCCCCGCGTTCCCCCTCTCTCCTCCTCCTCTTCCTCCTCCCCTTGCTCCCTCCTTCCCCTCATCGCCTTTGTCATCCGCATGTTTTTCCCAACCATCCTGTGGTGTTGGGTCCTCGTTTTGAAGAGACGTCGCCCCGCGTTCCTTCCTTCCTTCCCGCTGCCCCCTCCCTCCTCCCATCTTCATCATCATCGTCATCATCCCCATCATCGTCATCGTCATCATCATCTGTCGTCATCATCATTATCACCACCCATGTCGGCACACCCCTCACACGTTTCGTGACCCCATAGGGAGCTCCACCGAAGGTCCCAGTGCGTGTGCCCGCATGCGTCCCGCACACTCATTTCGGCACACCCCTCACACGCTTCGTGGCCCCATAGGGAGCTCCACCGAAGGTCCCAGTGGGTGTGCCCGCATGCGTCCCGCACACCCATTTCGGCACACCCCTCATACGTTTCGTGGCCCCACCGAAGGTCCCAGTGGGTGTGCCCGCATGCGTGGTTTGCATCGGCACACCCTCGGCACACACGTTTCGTGGCCCCATAGGGAGCTCCACCGAAGGTCCCAGTGGGTGTGCCCGCATGCGTCCCGCACACCCATTTCGGCACACCCCTCACACGTTTCGTGGCCCCATAGGGAGCTCCACCGAAGGTCCCAGTGGGTGTGCCCGCATGCGTCCCGCACACCCATTTCGGCACACCCCTCACACGTTTCGTGGCCCCATAGGGAGCTCCACCGAAGGTCCCAGTGGGTGTGCCCGCATGCGTCCCGCACACCCATTTCGGCACACCCCTCACACGTTTCGTGGCCCCATAGGGAGCTCCACCGAAGGTCCCAGTGGGTGTGCCCGCATGCGTCCCGCACACCCATTTCGGCACACCCCTCACACGTTTCGTGGCCCCATAGGGAGCTCCACCGAAGGTCCCAATGCGTCCCGTCCTCAGCCCCGCTCCACCGAACCCGCATGCGTCCCGCACACCCATTTCGGCACATCCCTCACACGTTTCGTGGCCCCATAGGGGGCTCCACCGAAGGTCCCAGTGGGTGTGCCCGCATGCGTCCCGCACACACATGTCGTCCCACCCCTCACACGTTTCGTGGCCCCATAGGGAGCTCCACCGAAGGTCTCAGTGGGTGTGCCCGCATGCGTCCCGCACACCCATTCCGGCACATCCCTCACACGTTTCGTGGCCCCATAGGGAGCTCCACCGAAGGTCCCCGTGGCGCAGTCCACATGCGTCTCCTTTGCCCAGTACAGCGTTACGTGGCCCCATATGGAGCCCCACCGCAGGTCCCAGCCAGCCAGCTAGCTCTCTTTGCTCCGCGCAGCGGGCGACCCGCGCGCGTCGCTGGGACTCCTCCGGGGCGACCTGCGCGCGTCGCGGGGGCTCCGTGCTGCGTTCCGCCCAGCGCCTCGCTCGCCCGTCGTCGCTCTGCCCAGCGGCAAGAGCCTTGCCCGCTATCAGCCAGCCAGCTAGCTCTCTTCGCTCCGCGCAGTGGACGACCCGCGCGCGTCGCTGGGACCCCTCCGGGGTGACCTGCGCGCGTCGCGGGGGCTCCGCGCTGCGCTGCTCCCGCAGCCTTGGACTTTTGAGTGCGCGGGCAAAGAGGGAGTAAAGGAAGGGGAGGAAGCGGGCGCGATCCTCGCGGGGGGGCGCGCCGACATTGGCGTCGCGGCGCGCGGGCGATGCCGTCGGGGAGTCCCGGGGAAGCTCCTTGCGGCGGCCACGCCCAGCGTCACGAGTATTCAGAGGCAGTCGTTGTCAAACTATTGGCATTCATACACATTTGCACCACGCTTTGTCATATTCGCATTCATGCACGTAGACTCGCTCGCACGCAGATCATTCACAGTCAGACGCACGCGCGCAGATTCACCCGCGCTCAGTCTCCCTACGTACTCAGATCAATCGTTTTCGTTCACTTTGTGTACCACGCCACTCATGTCGGCACGCCCCTAGCACGGTTCGTTGCCTCATAGGGATCGCCACCGAAAAAATGAATCACTATTGCGGTACTCGCACCTGCATATGGTTGGGTCCCTCGTCAGGCTAATTTTTGTTGGAACACCCCTCACACGTCTTGTGGCCCCATGGAGAGCCCCACCGAAGGCCCCAGTGGCTGCGCTCGCATGACACCACCGCACACGTTTCGTGGCCCCATCGGGAGCTCCACCAAATGCCTCAGCGGCTGCGCTCGCATGACACCGCCGCACCCATTTCGGCACACCCCTCACAAGTTTCGCGGCCCCACAGGAAGCCCCACCGAAAGCCCCAGTGGCTGCGCTCGCATGACAGTACCGCACCCACTTCGGCACACCCCTGACGAGCTTCGTGGCCCCATAGGGAGCCCCACCGAAGGCCTCAGTGGCTGCGCTCGTGTGACACCACCGCACTCATGCCGGCACACCCCTCACACGTTTCGTGGCCCCATAGGCGGTTCCCGACCGAAGGTCTCAGTGGTTGCGCTCGCGTGACACCACCGCACCCACTTCGGCAGATTTCTCACACCTTTCGTGGCCCTATAGGGGGCTCCACCGAAGGCCCCAGTGATTGCGCTCGCATGACACCACCGCACCCATGTCGGCACACCTCTCACACGTTTTGTGGCCCCACAAGGAGCTCCACCGAAGGCCCAAGTGGCTGCGCTCGCATGGCACCACCGCACCCATGTCGGCACATCACTCGCACGTTTCGTGGCTCCATAGGGAGCCCCACCGAAGGCCCCATTGGCTGCGCTTGCATGACACCACCGTTCCCATTTCGGCACACCCCTCACACGTTTCGTGACCCACAATGAGCCCCACGGAAGACGATACCAACAATTGCGTGACTCGCAAAGGTATATGGTTGGGTCTTTCGCCAGGCTATTTGTGATCGCGCCCAATCGCGACCCCTGTCGCTTCACAGCGCCAGGAGGGAGAGGCATTCTGTCCGCTTCAAGTGCGGATGAGCGCGCTGTTGGGCGCCATGTGGACGACCAAACAAAGCTTCCGCGAGTTGTTTTTTAGACTAGCTGTCAAATGGCGCCCAATCGCGACCCCTGGCGCCCCATTGCGCCACGAGGGAGAGGCGGCCTGTCCGCTTCGCGTGCGAATGCGCGCGCAGTTAGGCGCCATGGGGACGACCAACAGACTTTCCGAGAGTTGTTGTCTAGTATAGTTTTCAAATCGCGACCCCTCGCGACCCCTCGCGCCCAACAGAGCCAGGCGGGAGAGGCATGTTGTCCGCTTCGCGGGCGAATGGGTGCGCTGTTGGGCGCCATGGGGACGATCCAAAAAAGCT